ATGGTTGGAATCCCCAGGATGATCAATAGGTGATTTTGGGGTAAAAGGGGAGATGGGTAATGTGCTAAATTGGGAGGGAATCACAACAAACCGAATATTCTTTAAGGACTTAGATATTTACATTCTTTCTTTGCCAGCCTTTGAAGATAAGCGTTGTAATTATCCCATCATACAGATAAGATAAATAAGAACTGAGAGGTTAAACAACCATCCAAGGTCTGACATAGAGTAAACGGCAGAACCAGGATTTAGACTCAGACAGTGTGACTTCAGATCCCACTCTTACCACTGTCTTCCACTGTCTTGTATGAGCTCAGATGTGAATAGGGATGAATATAAGTGACAGCAAACACATAGTGGAGAGGGCAAGTTTGGGGAACCACAGCATCCACAGAGAAGCAACCGGGAAACAAAAACCCAGCAAACTTCAGAGGCTCATTTGTGACATGGTTTGGGAGTGGAAAAACATGTAAGGTTCATATTTGGGAGATTTGGGTTGGAACAACACTTCGGTTCCTTGTTAGCGTGTTATTTAACCTCTCTAAACCTCGATTTCCTCATCTCTAAACACAGATAGCACACATTTCACAGTTTAATGGCAAGGATTTTTAAAAGATAACATATGAAAAAGCTTTGTAAACTGTGGAGTTCTATGCAAATATCTTTCTTCCTCTTGGCTTCTTCTCCTCTGTAGCAGAAAGTAGGTTTCAGAATAGGGACTCAAGAAGCAAACACAGAATAAAGGATGCTCCAGGAAGCTGGGGAAATTCTTGCAGGCTGTCTTTAGTCTAGGACTTACTCTTTTCTAGCCTGAAGTCTGAGAGGTTTATGAGACCCATCCTATCCCAGCAGCACAGAGAAAACAATTTTGCCAAAGGCATTAAATATTTTCCTGCCAGAAGAAAGTTGAACTTCTAACCTCCAGCATTCTTTGGATTTTATGAAATACATTGAGAATAGAAATGACCGGGCCGGGCGCGGTGGCTCAAGCCTGTAATCCCAGCACTTTGGGAGGCCGAGGCGGGTGGATCACAAGGTCAAGAGATCGAGACCATCCTGGTCAACATGGTGAAACCCCGTCTCTACTAAAAATACAAAAAAAAATCAGCTGGGCATGGTGGCGCATGCCTGTAGTCCCAGCTACTCAGGAGGCTGAGGCAGGAGAATTGCCTGAACCCAGGAGGCGGAGGTTGCGGTGAGCCGAGATCGTGCCATTGCACTCCAGCCTGGGTAACAAGAGCGAAACTCCGTCTCAAAAAAAAAAAAAAGAGAATAGAAATGACCAAAACAAAGGAATAGCAAACACTATTCTTAAAAAACTGAACTTTCAGAAAATATGGAAAAACTCTGGAGTTTGTATATCAGCTGTAACCAAATGAACTAGGGAAAGATGCAGGGACATGGTCTGGGGTAACAGCAGAGGTTGATCAGTAGGTGAGCAAGTGACCCTTGACAGGGGAAGATCTCAAGCCCAACACAAGAGCCACATCCCCCAGCCACCAGTGGGTTTTAATACAAGGAAAAATTTGGAGCCATTTACAAATAAGACAATACTAGCTGGCAGAAAATTTAGTCTGTCACCTTTTGAGGACTTCTCCCTGTTCCTAAAACTCTGCTCTATGCGCTAAAGATATAACAATAAGGACAGGAAGCTCACTGCCCTCAAGGAACTTACATTCTAGGGCCCAGCTAGGTAGGGGTAAGAAGTCTAAATGAACCAGATAATTTCAGAGAGAGTGCTAAGGAACACATAGGAGATGCTCAGTAACATTTGTCAAATGGATGGATGGATAAGTGAGACTTCGGATTCTCTCTTGATCCGACGGACTTCAGATTCCATCTTTGTACAATGAGGCATTCAAGCCACCTGTCTTCACTGAGAATGCCATTTAATACATCCATTCAAATTCATTTAATCATTCAGACAACATTTCTTAAGTATGTATTACATGCAGGCATTATGCTAGGCCCTAGGGATATGAAAACAAAACATATTCCAGAGGTCCAATAACTCTTTCATTGAAGAATCCTCACCAGGTGTGGTGGCTTACGCCTGTAACCCCATCACTTTGGGAGGCCGAGGCGGGAGGATCACCTGAGGTCGGGAGTTTGAGACCAGTCTGACCAACATAGAGAAACCCTGTCTCTACTAAAAATACAAAATTAGCCAGGCGTGGTGGTGCATGCCAGTTATCTCAGGTGCTCTGGAGGCTGAGGCAGAAAAATGCTTGAACTCGGCAGGCGGAGGTTAGATCGTGCCTTGGCACTCCAGTCTGGGCAACAAGAACAAAACTCTGACTCAGAAAAAAAAAATGAATCAGCTTCTGGTGACTCTATTTGTTCTATCTTCTGCCAATTTTGCCCACTTTCAGATTCAGCCTGAATTTGAAAGGCTCTGTGCAGATAGGCTTGCTGAGCCTGGATGGCCCAGCCTTCCAATCTAGGCTGAGTAAGATGTGACATTTTCACAAGGCAGGTGTCTCCATGCTGGAGTTTCCCATCACCCTTAGAATCTCATGCTGCACTAGTAATGACAGGAGGAGCTCATCATCAGGCAGTGTAGTGACCAATTCTTTCCCAATCATGAGCACACATACTGTACTGTTTAATCTGTGGCTGGGTGACCCAACAACAGAACATTCTGAAGTCTAAGTCTGACCTCTTTAAAGAGGAGTAGGAAATTGTCATAAAGGAAGAGTCCTATTGGCTGCAATTTATACAGGGTAGGAAAGAATCCTGTCCCCGCCATATAGGGCCCCTTACTGCTGGCTTTCCCTGGGCTCACAACCACGCATAGACACACACACATAAGTAGAATACCCTTAGCCGTCCTATTATCAATACTAAAAAAAAACAGAATTTGAAAAAAAAAATAACCTTCTCTGGTCACAAGGCCAGTTCTGTAGTGTCTTTTCTTTTCTGAATTTCTTGATACCTTTGAGAAAAGCCCGATCTGTCTTGCCAAGATACAGCACTGTCTTCTCAGTGTCTGTTAATCCTCTTTATTTTATTATGTAAATGAAGAGAGCTTATTGAGCCGACAAAAACATTGAGATTGTGACTTCAAAATTGTGACCAGAGAAGGTTAACTTTATGAGTTGTTTAAAGAAATGAAAGCAGCCCAGGTGAGAAGCTGGAAAGGCTCAGGAAGGAACACAGGTGACAAGAAAGAAAAATAATCTATCCCCAGGCTGAGCAGGGAGCAAACAGAAAAAAGACAATACAGAATAAGAGCACATTATGTCTAACAGAAAATTGTTGTCAACCTTTACTCTCCCCCCGCAAAATAAAGATGTTTTAATATGTAAGGATAAATGCATGTGTCAAATGGGTTTGTTTGCAAACACTCAATTATTATTGCACAGCAGGACCACACGGCTCTCTGACTCTCTCTCTTTTGAGCTGGGTGACAATGACAGGGAGAAGAGATTTAAAAACCACGTTTAAATTTTAGCAGAGAGGCCTTCTGGAGGAAAGTCAACCCACAAATCTAAGACATAAATAAACAAGCCACCATCCTAGACAATGTTCTTGAGAAAAAAATGACAGGACAAATCTGACTTAAGTTGATACGTTGAGGTTGGAAAAGCGGACCTGGATTCTGTTTGCTTCGATAAAGGATTATAACTGCTGTTATGTCTAACCTCAGGCCCTCTTTTCCTGGCACCCACACCCATGGATCCTTCCCAGAGATCAATGTGGCTACCTCTGTTATGACGTTGACCTCTTTGGCTCAGTGTTAGTTGTGGAGCCTAGGAATTCGCAAATTGGATTTTCTGGATATGCCTTGCTTTGATTTGTTACTATTCCTTTGCTTTAAGCAGTAGAATCTGTTTTTCTTTTTTTTATTATTATTATTTACATATATCATAGGCCACAAGTGAGAACAGTAATGTGACTAATACAAATTTTACATTCTATAATAATATTAGTATGAACTTTGTTAACTCCATGGGGTGATTTTAATTTTGTTTTGACTGCTAAGGAGAACGGATTATGCCTTAAACTCTTCTTCAAGATAAAAAAAAAATTATATTATGAACCCTAGATTCAGTACTCCAAACAGGAAAACCTTAGCTTTATTTTGCATACTCAGTGAAGTGCTATATTCCTGGACCCATAAGGGGAGAGAAGGGGGTGGCAAAGAGGAGGAAGGGTCTTGAATGCAGCTATTCCTCTAGATCAGCATCTCTATACCAGTTTTTAAGTAACAGAACAAGCTCAGTTGTAAACGGTTTGTTCTGAAAACTACAACTGAGTATTTTCATAAGGAGTGAAGCCTGGGAACAATCAAATAGACCAGAATGGTGAGAACTATTTTCTCTTCAGTGGTTAGTACAGTGCCTGGCATAGAAAAAGTGTCGTATAAATAATATTTTTAATGAGTGAATGTGCTATTATCCTCCATTAGTATAATTATCAAGCATCTAAGAAAACACCAAAAATTGATTGAGATCAATCACCACTATATTTGAGGTTTTCAACTTACCCTACTAACAATACTTTGTCAGCATTCCAGGAGGATGGCAGAATGAACTGACTTACCCTTCCTATGGCCTGGCCTCTTTATCTTTCAAAGCTGAAAGATGGCAGGGCACGGTGGCTCACACCTGTAATCCCAGCACTTTGGGAGGCTGAGGTGGGAGGATCACCTGTGGTCAGGAGTTCCAGACCAGCCTGACCACCATGGTGAAACCCTATCTCTACTAAAAATACAAAAAGTTAGGTGGGTGTGGTGGCAGATGCCTGTAGTTGCAGCTACTCAGGAGGCTGAGGCAGGAGAATCGCTTGAACTTGGGAGACAGGTTGCAGTGAGCCGAGATCACGCCACTATACTGCAGCCTAGGCGACAAGAGAGAAACTCCATCTCAAAAAAAAAAAAAAAAAAAAAA